TTCTGATATTCGTAAATTTAACGTTTTTCAGGTCAACCTGATCGTGTATGAGGATAATGAAAATTTAGTTTTCACGTTTGACAATTGATATCTACTATATAAGTTTTGAATTATCCAATTAGATGATAAAAGTTTTGTCCAGTATTCTGGTCATTTTTCACTGCGTTTGTCAATTGAATATCAAATAAAACTTAGTAAACCTTTAAACTAAACTATCCCCAGGTGATCATCAATTTTATTTAAAAAAACATTGTTTTGAGGCGATGTTTTATTAACATTAATATTTTTATTTTAAACATCGATCTTTGTTGGTGATGTCGTATCTTTACATCATTGTCCTGCCTCTGGCAGGGCAGTGCCTCCGGTCCGTTTTAATCAGCGGGATGCAACTTCAATACGTCAATGTTGGTTCGTTTGTTATCCCTGAATTACCAAAGGAAGGGGTCTCAGGTACGTGAGGAATAGCCTCTTTTTCGGTATTACGAACCCCAAAACGTTCATTCTGACTTCGAGAATGTGATGTACTATGCAAATATACAAACAAATCCAAATTTTTGGCCTAAAAATCGGTACTTTTCCTTATGGTTTACGTTACTTTCTGTTTCTACGAAGCTGATTTGCGAAAGAAATGTAATGTTCATATCTCGTGTAGAAGTGTCTCTGGAATTCGCTTTTAAACATTTTGAACTTGACACCTATCGTCTTGTTCAAAAACGTTCCATTCGTACACCAAAGTTCAATTTTTTTTGTTACTGATTTTTTTCTATTTACATTCTATTCCTGAAATATGGGCGTTTTGGATTTTGATTTACACTGAATAGGGAAACCCAGTAGAAGTAGCTCTATTGTGCTAAATTAATAGCTGAAATACTACGTGAACATGTTATTACTTCACTTAATACTTATTGCATATTGTCGCTAAATGTAAATTGGAGCTGGCTCACACTCACGAGCTGGCTCACACTCACGAGCTGGCTCACACTCACGACCTGGCTCACACTCACGAGCTGGCTCACACTCACGAGTCGTTGTCGAAGGGGAAGGAGACGGGGAAGGAGACGGGCGAGGAAGGAAAAAAGGGCGAATGTAGAATATAAGGTAGGGAATGAAGGAGTGATTTTTTGACCAAAAATATGAAAGTTATCCAAACTACCAGAGCATATTATAATTTCTCACATTTAGCACTTTTGAGTTTCTTAAAAGACACGCACGCCGCTAAGAAAATCACCCACACTGCGTCTGCTTATCGGTTTACCACATAATAACGAAAAATGATATGAAACGTTTTTATGACTAGCAGAAGGATTTTATTCTCTATAAGCACACAATTGCCGCTTCTGCTTTACTGTCAAACCCGCTTGCCTGCTCATGGCGCACTACCAGAAGATCCAGATGACTGCTTCCTTGCACTTCTTAATGCAGGCTTGCCAAGGTTGCGAGAGTGGCGGGCCATTCGCAGAGTTCACAGCCGCTGGCGTTCCTGGGAAAGCGAGAGAGGCCGGAAGGAGGGGGTCAATAGTTTTTCACGTGTCGAAATAATGCGAGAAGAAAGCCCTTCTTACTTTCTCGCTACTGATTACGCAGTAGAGAGAATGTTATGTAATGCTGCGGGAAAAAGCGGCGAATTTTCGACAGTAAAACTCTTATTAGAAGACCCTCGTAACGAAATAGTGGATAAATCCACTCTAAATTTGGACAACAAATCTTCTAACTCGTGGTGTAACCAGAACCAATGACACTGAAAAATCAAATGACGATAAAACGCCTGTCCGTCACTCAGTCAGTCCGTCTGTCCGTCTGTCCGTCCGTCAGTCCGTCCGTCAGTCCGTCCGTCAGTCCGTCCGTCAGTCCGTCCTCAGTCCGTCCGCAGTCAGTCCGCTGTCCGCGTCATCCGTCAGCGTCCTCAGTCCGTCAGTTCATCCGTCCAGTCATCGTCAGTCAGTCCGTCAGTCAGTCCCGTCAGTCAGTCCCGTCAGTCAGTCCGTCAGTCAGTCCGTCAGCCGTCAGTCTCGTCCGTCACGTCCGTCAGTCGTCGTCAGTCGGTCAGTCGTCCGTCAGCTCCGATCCGTCAGTCGAGTCACGTCCAGCGTCCGTCAGTCAGTCGTCAGTCCGTCCGTCAGTCGCGTCCGTCTCAGTCACTGTCGTCAGTCAGTTCCGTCAGTCAGTACCGTCAGCTCCTCAGTCCGTCAGTCCAGTCCGTCAGTCCAGTCCGTCAGTCACCCAGTCCGTCAGTCAGCTCCCGTCAGTCAGTCCGTCAGTCAGTCCGTAAGTCAGTCCGTCAGTCAGTCCGTCAGTCAGTCCGTCAGTCCAGTCCGTCCAGTCAGCCCGTCAGTCAGTCAGTCAGTCAGTCAGTCAGTCAGTCAGTCCGTCAGTCAGTCAGTCAGTCAGTCCGTCCGCCTAAGAACAACGGTAGCGGGTATTCGTTCGGCCGATTTTCTCCAAAATTGATATACCCCAATCGATACGGCTTTTGGGCCGGCCCCTTGGATTTGAAACCATTTTTTTTAATTTGTAGGGTACTTTACATGAAGGCCCGGAAACATTTTACCAAATTTTCAAAACAATGACTCTAACGTTTTTGATTAAAGTTTGTTGTCGGGTAATGTGAAGGACGTTTAAGAGAATGGTACAGGCCTCATGTTCCTAGAAAACTCGGTTTTTACGAAAATTGCATAATTTCAATTTTTTCGGAGTCTTCCGACAAAAATATTAATGGTAAAGATTTTCCCTTCATGAAATCTGTTCCTTAAAAATAGATTTTGAAATAATGTGATGTAGTAATTTTTCGAAAATTTTAGTACTTCTCACGTCATTTTGCGTAAAAGTACGGGCGAAAAAGAACGTGATGTTCTAGCAGGATTAGTTTTATAACTTGGTCAGAGGTTTCCGTACCTCTGCATTCCACAGCGAATGGTGATAAGCGAGGGTGGCTTATTAACGAAATAACTACCATATATTTCTAAGAAGAGAATGATTGCATTGCAATGAGCGATAACTGAAGGAGGCGGAATATGGCCTGGGAGGGGGGGAGGCTTTATCGAGGTGTGACTGTATATATCAATTTTTTTCCAATACATTGCCATTTATTCTAAGGTCCACCGTTGCTCCCCTCCTTCTCCATTGATTTTCTTCTGATTTCGGATGGCATTAGTTGAGCATCCGACGCACAATACTTGGGTAAAACTATCACGTATTCGGAGCGCGTACGAGGTATGGAGGAGTTACTCTAAGAACGGACCACTGTGACAGGTAGTGAAACAAACTAGCATCGTACACGGCTATGACATTGCGAGAGATGTTGGTACGGTTAGCATACCGGACTGTTGTACCCAAGTTCGTGGGTTTAAACCCGATCGAAGCCGTGGATTTTCAAGGGCGAGAAAATCCTTCGTACGCCTTCCTTCGGAGGGGAAGTATAGCCGGCTGTCCCATGTTAGTAGATTTACTTGCATGTAAAAGATCCTCAAGCCTAAATGACGCCTCTGAGCTAAATTGAAATCGCCTGTTTCTCGTCCAAGAAATACCTCATTTCTCTACTAGTTGATGAAAGAAGCGTTGCGAAATTTGCGTGGTCAGACGGAAGAGCGGGCCTGATGGCCCGCGTCTCGCCACGTAAAATAAGGCAAATTCAATTCAATTCAATGTTAATGCAGCCAGTTACAAATGAGCTAACTGTAAACGAACGCACTGAAAAAATGAGTGCATTGTCATAATCTGCAGTTTTGTTGCCAGCAGTAGCTGTCAAAGGGGTCCGTTCTTATAGTAAATTCCCTACACACCTCACGCCAGTCAGCATTTGAGGCCGTGCGCCCCGTGGCGGGCGGGGCAGCGAGTGAAAACGCCCTCGCGTGCTGTTGCGCACGAGTGGTGCGGGCGGGCGCCGCTTCGCCTCTTTCTTGCGGGTTATGTAAAATCCTTGGCGGCACGAGCGCCGGTGTCACGTTGGCCACTCGCGTTCTCACCGGATCGCCGGTGGCGAACAGGTCGTCTATCTGCCTCGGGCCTGCTGACCTTCGATGCCACTCTGGTGTCAAGGAGGCGTGCCGCGGGTGAGAAAAATCTGCTGGCTGAAGTATAGGGGCTGCACTACTACTTGCGTGAGTGTAAAAATCTGTCATATGTAACGCAAAAGAGAAACTGAAAAGCTCCATTTGAAATTTTTGCACATCATGCTGCATTATTACGTTGAATCCATTATCATAATTTATATACTCGTGTATCATTTTCTTTTCTAGAATCACTTATGATTGGTGCAGTAAAAAATGCAATATCAGTATGTCGTGATTTACGAATACGATAACGTCTTTTCATTATAATTGAGCAACTCATTCTAAGAACAAAACTGAGCCTACAGTTGCAAAGGCCGACTGTGGTGCGTTGATTTGTCAAGGATGGGAAATCCGCAGTAGACCATGATTGTCTCGCGGAACCCTAAAGGAACTATGGGTAAATGCATGGCAAAATTAAATTTTCCAAGTATTCCAGCTCCACACAGATCCCAAGTTCTCTCAACTAGGGATAAATCCAGTGGAAAATCGGTCGATAAGAAGATGTGAATAACTAGAAAACGATTGATGGATTCGTACTTAAAGTACGTATTCGTACTACGAACGAGATACTTACGTACTTGGATATTATACGTGGAGGAAATTAATAGAAAATATACCTTAGTAAAACCAATGACGGAAATACGGTTTTCCTTCTACAGCAAATTATGAAGTCTTCATAGCCGATGGCTTATTCCAAGGTTCTCAGGCGATTCCCTTGGTTGCCTTTCACCACCACATCCCGGTCACAATTCATTCAGGCCCTCCAATAGTACCCTTCTCTATTCAAGGGAAAAGCAATTATATAATGGAAAGAGTGATTTATTATTGAATATATTTTATTATTGCTGTATAAATTTGATCAATTTTACTAATTTAGTCCCACAGGGCGTTGTTAATTTTTAACCGCTGTTTAAAGGTACTTTTAGTAACGTGAAAATTACTTCTTTTCAGATGGCTACCAAGGGAAGACAGAGAAAATATATTTAATGAATCGAATGAATAAATGGAAAGGGAATTACAGGGACAACACAGTTACTACACAACACGTGTTCGCACAAGAAGTGGCGATAACCACAGGTAATATTTTAAGGAACCTGAAATATTTCATTCAAAGTTAGTGAAATTAAACTGTATTTTAAATAATTTATTTACTATATATTTTAAAGATTAAATGACACCAAATACTTCTAAATCCTTTTCGTGATTTCTGCTATTGTGCATTCCAGGAATACGAAAAGAAGACGCAGGCTGTGTGGTTATGATATCGTGGCTGTCACATCGCGTTTGCAGTGTCACCCGAATTCTGTCTGTAAGTACATGCAGCTAGATTCTCAAATCCTCTTTTGACATAGTGATGCCACCTTTGGATAGGTAGTGTTATGTAGATGCCTGGCCCTATCACTTAGTAAGTAGTACTGAGGAAGGAACGCCATAAAATCGATGGATGAAGAGGAGATCGTTCGATCTCCGCTCGGTAAACGGATGCGGCTTCATCAATCGCAGGAAATGAAGAAAAGTCAGTAGCGTACATGGACGAGATCGGAACTCGTGGGCTTTTAAGTCTCCCCAGAATCTGTTGACTTACATTCCCAAATACACTTTCTTTGGATTTCATATAATGACTAAAAACATTCAATATTCCAAAAGGTTACGTTATAAATAACTATAAATTAACAAATAAAAGTAATTTTTAAATTCAGCATAAATAAAAAATGTATTTTTAACAAATTATTAAATGAGCTGTACCCCACACCTTCAGACCCCCGTCTCCACCCACCCTAGTAAAATATTGTGGGCCTCTTAAAGAACCAATACATTTTTAATTGCATTAACTCAAACGACTAAAAAAAGCTAAATGTGTATAGGCAATGTCATTCTTAGAGTTATTTATAAATAGTTAAAAAATAATGAATGCATTATTGTTATTATTATTAGCAATAATAATAATAATAATAATAATAATAATAATATCAAAAATTATTGTTTTTGGTTCTCAATATAGTCTGTTATTTGTATAGAAGAAGTTACATATCTGAAAAGACATTTCCTGAAATTCAAACTGAATATTTTCATTGCTTAGTGTTATCTGGCAAGTACAGCAAAATAATGTATACAAAAGTAATTTACTCCGTGCACAGTTGAAAATGGAGAGGAACGTGGCCATTTGCGAGGGGTCTAATTGCAAATCGCGCCCTCTATGTAATGAAGGAGCAACGCATCGCGGGCGCATTCCTCGCAGGTCAACCGCCCCCCCCCCGCGCGGCGTGCGGCTCGCGGACGCGGACCCCCTCGCCGATATCGACGGCGGGGGGTAGGGGAAGGGGGGGCGGCGTCCGTGTCCAAGTATGCGGCAGCGGCACAGCTCGTATTCCTCATAGGCAGCCTCCGGGACTCGACTCGACTCCACTCGACTCGCCCGCCGGTAATTAATTCCGCATCGCTGCGCCGCAACCATGCACCGCGCCTCGCGTCTGCCGGCCCGCCCCCAACCCGTCCCCAAGCCCCCCTCCTCGCACGAAGGACCTCGAAAAGATACATATCGGCAGAGGTGGTTCAAGGCACCCTCTGATGTCTCTGCAATATCTCTGTTCGAATTTTCGACACTAGATTGCTGGATCGATTTCATCCGCTGTCTGGAGGAGAAATCTAGCGGTCTGCTGCTCTGATCGGTATTTTTGGTTTATATTCTCCAATCGACACCAGACGAAAGCCGGACCAGTTTACTAATAAATGGGCCGCTAACCATGCGCGTTCTGTCCTCTTCTCGGTCTTCTCCTCACCCCTCACTTACACACACTTAACACTGGCATGCATTTCATTATCACTTGTCCGGAGACCAGTCGGGAGTTTGCAGCTTGTCCCGGCTGGGGCGGCGCCACGCTGGTGGCAGATACCTTATTGGGGAAAATCTCCGGAAGTAAACGTGGGTCGATGGCACATCTCACCATCCACGGGGAAGGAATACAGTTACCTCCCGCGATAAAAAAATGCACTACTCTTGTGGGACTAATGGTCTTAGCAGTTGACCCGCCAGGAATCGCTAATCAATCAATCGAAAAGATACGTGTGACGAGCGAAAGATCACGTAACAGACACGTCAAGGAAGAGGTGTAGTCTCCTTGTAATACGAGGAGATATCGAATGTTTTTCTGCTATTTTTTTTAACTGGTACGAAAGGAGAGGAACATCAATTCGTCGTATTTGAAAGGCTAAAATGCTTTTGAATACAGTTCAAGTCAACGAAGATGGTCTCTCTGAATTCCTACTGCGGAATGACTACCCATCCGGTCAATATGCTCCGGAATAAGATTGTTTGATGAGCGGGAGGTTTCACAGCAGGTACATTGTGGAAGAGGCAGAGTTTCCGCGTTCTACGAGAAGCACTGTTCTGCTGTTGATTGTTTTGATCTGATGTTAAAAAAGAGAAACATCGATGAGTCGAATCTGAAAGGGAACAGAGCTGTTGAATTAGCAAATATTTCGACTGAACGAGAACGGAATTTCCGAAATCCTAGTGCGGAACGTGTATGACCAATGTGCTCCGGAGTAAGGTACTACTTTTGGCGAGCGGTTGGTCTCTCTGAACACACATTGTGGAAATCTTGGTCTTCTCAGAATACGAAAATATATCACATTTAACCTGGATCCTCGGTAACTCGAATATGAAACGAAAAGAATGTTTCAATTATCAAAATTACGACTCTATAAGGACGGTGTAGCCAAACGTCAGAAAAGGAGGTAATTGCAATTGCGATCTACGCGCAAAGCCAATGATCTTTTCGGAAACAAATGTTCATGCAAGGAAGCTCCCAAGTGTCACTCAACTTGGGGATCAAAGCCTTTCAGTCAGCCATTCAGTGAAAAAGCTGTCATTCAGTTCAAACACACCCACACACATACACACACACACACGTACAAACAGCTGGACTTGAAGTCATCTGAACAAAAATCCGACTATTGAATCGATTAATACTCGTCCCTTGAATACTGGTGTTAATGCAATTTTAGTACGTCATCTCGGATGCTGCGTTACGCGTTTGGAGTCATATGAGATGCGCCACGTAGCTCCTCTCAAATGTCCTCAGGCGCAAACTATCTCTCGTTTTACAATCACCTTCTACGTAAAACAACTTTTTTTTTTCTTTCACGACATTTCGAAGCGTGTGCACCCTCAAGACCCGCCACATTCCTGCGCGCGCTCTCCGCGTCTATTAACTCCGTCGGCGGCCGCCGGGAGCGCTGGCGCGGGCTTCTTCATTCATTACGCGCTTCCGCGAGGGCGGGGCGCTGCGGGGGCGCCGCGGAGGCGCTGCGGGGCGGTCCGCCTCCATCGCTCATCGCCGGATTGACTCGTCACGGCGCCGCCTCGCGCGCGCACCCGCGCTGTCTGTCGACCGCCGCGCCACGCGATGTTTCTTTTAGCCAATGCCCCGCGTGTGTCGGCCCAACCAGGCAATGGCCAGTAAAGAGTGGTATGTTGGTCGCCTCGGAGAGATCAGGGATCTTGTTGGGTGCGATATACAGATGTCCAATAGTGATGATATGCACCTTAAAAAGAATATGCATTTTAGAAAGGGAAGCGTGAGGTAAAAAATGAGAGATTTTTCTAATGAATGGATGAACATTTCCAACTCACATAAAATTTTATTTTTGGCATTTTGTTAATATTAATATGTATTATTTCATATTTTAATACGATAATGTTGATGAAAAATCCCGTGAAAATGTATTCCCATTGAGTGCGTTGTCTCTTTCAGCCAATGCCCCGCGTGTGTTGGCCCAACCAGGCAATGGCCAGTAAGAGTAGTATGTTGGTCGTCTGAGAGATCAGGGATCTTGTTGGGTTCAATATACCGATGTCCAGTAGTGTATATATGCATCTTAAAATATAGAAAGAGAAGAGTGAGGTAAAAAATGGATGATTTTTCTAATAAATTGATGAACATTTCCAACTCACATAAAATTTTATTTTGGACATTTTATTACTATTAATATGTATTATTTCATATTTTAATACGATAATATTGACGAAAAAACCCGTGAAAATGTATTCCCATTGAGTGCGATGTTTCTTTTAGCCAAGCGAGTGTTGACCCTACCAGTCAATGGCCAGGCAGATTATTTTGGTCGTCTCGGAGAAGTCAGGGATCTTGTGGTGTTCGATATACTGGTAACTAATAGTGTCGATACATGTCTTAAAATATTGAAAGGGAAGACTGAGATAAAAAATCGAGCATTTAACGCACATTTGCAACTCATATGTAATTTTATTTTTGACATTCTGTTAATATTAAATTGTATTATTTCAGTTTTTCATATGTAAATGCCGAAACTAAAACTTGGATATTGAATGGTATAATTACACCGACAAATATAGAAATATTGTTATAAAATTGTGTTTTATTTAAAAAAATATTTCTTTTCTGAATAACTTTAAAGACATTTATGCACAATTGCAATTCGGATGCATTTTCATTTTTAAAATGTTTTTTTTAAAAGTACTTTTCCTTCCTTTCGCCAATCAACACCAAGCGAACAGCACCCTAACAAACGCAACACGGAGAACAACCGATCGTTCCTTTCTCTTCCCTGTCCCCTTCTTATCCCTTACATAAACACACACTTACATACACTGCACTACCCCGCATGTCGAAAGACTTAACGGGAGCATAGATCGCAATCTCACATGTATGTCGGCGGTGGATCTCGCCATTCAGCGGGCGAGCATCACAGACACATTCCACGATAAAACCATGCACTACACTTACGGAACTAATGATCTTAGCAGTCGATGCGCCCGGAATCACCAATCAATTAATCCTGCCTCCGTTGCGACAGGAACCCTAGGTCCTCCCGATCAGAGACATAAGGACGAATTTTGAATTAATATATAACATCTATTTTCTTATTTCTACAAGCATTACTTAGGTCTTGGATAGCATACCTCTGTAGTATGGGATTTTAATGTTGCCTGAGAACTTGCGCAAATGCAAATTATCACCATTATCTCCCTCCAACGTTCCATGGAAATATTTACATTGTTGAGTAGTGAAAAATGTTTACATATTTACTCGTGCTGAAAAAACCTTCCACAAATTGTTACCTAGCAATGCCGAGAAGCGAAAACTTGAGCCTTCCAGTTTGTCCCTCCAACGCTGAGGTTTCGTTTGAAGAGAGAGAGAGAGAGAGTGGAGAATGAAGTATCGCGGCCTTGTGAACTTTTAATCGCCTGCTTGAAAGGTCTTCGCTCGAAAGGAAAT